AGGTTTACTGTTCTGAAATAAGTGTGCGACTTCCCGAAAAGCCAAATCAAAAGCCAAAGACGCTGACCTTGTGACCTTGACTTTGAACTTTGACTTTTAAAAAAAAACAACTTTAACCTTGGTCATATATTCTGAACCCTAAAAGGAAGGGCTTTCATATTTAATTTGTTTGTTCCTTGTAAGAAAAACCTTTCCATTGGTACCAGAATTTTGACCTTGTGACCTGACTTTGACCTTTGACCTACTTTTCAAAAACTTTAATCTTGACTGTATCTTCTTAACCCTAAGAGGAAGGGCTATTATATTTCATATGTGTATTCCTTGTGATAAGATCTTTCTATTGGTACCAAAAGTTTTAATAAATGTAGCACCTATTGAAGGTCTAGTTCACATCCAGTGTCAAATTCTCAACAGGCAGGACACGAGTTTGTTAAACATTTACACTTAACTAGAGTTTCTCAAAACTTTTTGCAGAAGATGATAGTGAGGAAGAGCAAAATGATGAAGATGAAATGGAGAAAGAACAGTACTGTACCACAATCATATAATGATGCTGATGATGAAACGGAGAAACAGCTATTCGCAGATGATGATGATTATATTCCAGATAGTGACTCCAGTCAGTAAGTAAAGTTTGCCTGGACATTGCATGATGATTTACCGTATTTATTCCAATAAACGCCCCGTCTCTAATAAACGCCCCCCACCTGTTTTCTCAGTAAATTTCAACAACTCAGGAGTCAGGTTACAAAGCTTACCTTTTAATAAATTTTAAATTCTGGTATCCATGAACATGAACAAATGAATTTTGGCACAAGAAAATTACACTGTCACGACATGTACACAAGTAATATCAATTTAATCCACGGTTCATTTCAATATACTGCAGGCCTAACGGCCGGGACTGCCATACGAACTACTGTCTTCACTTTCACTTTCACTTTTGCCAGTCTCGCTTTCACTCAGTTCTATTTGTGGAATAGAAGGCGCGTTCACATCACCCATTAAATTTTGCAAAACGTCATCTGCAGCTTGGATATCCTTTTCACTAAACCCCTGGAATTCCTCATCGTCAGGGTCATGCTGGAAAATATGATCCTAGCTACCGTCCAGCGAATTTGTGATACCGCATTTTTTTAACGATCTTCTGATTGTGTCCGGGCTAATGCTATCCCATGCTGTCTTGACCCAAGACAACATTACAGCTTTAGATGGGGCTTTACGATTCCCTGCTTTGGTTTTCTCAATGGGGCCACTGAAACACCGTTCGTCATACAACTCTCCAAGTTTTTGTTTGAAGGGTTTATTCCACGACACATCGGCTGGCTGTAGCTTACATGTACATCCTCCAGGTATAACACAGATGTCTGAATTATATTTTTGACGAACCAGTTTTTTTACATCTTCAGTAAGATGACCACGGAAAGCGTCCCATACTAATAACCACCTAGCTGTATTATTCACACCCCAGAGTTTTTTTAACCAAAATTTTATACTTTCCTTGTTTGCCCAGGATTTTTGTCTGGCCCCGCACATGTATACCACAATACCACTTGGTATGTCATCTTTCGGAAGGGGACGGGGTCTCTTTTTGAATTTAGAAAACCATCCATATGAGGCTTTGAACGATTGACTACCATTTGCCTTATGCATACGCAGGGCCTCAAACCGCAATGCTTTCCCAGTCACTCGTATTCCGGCCTCCCGTCTGTCCTGTAGCCATCTCATCAGATTTTTGTCAATATCTTCATATCTGACATGCCTTCCACCTCCTTTACAGCGTTTAGATGTTTTAGAATGATTTTTTAATTTTTCTTTGTTTTGACACCAGTCCCACACTCGTTTTCTGTCAACACGAAACACTTTCACGGCGGCATGTTTACCCTTCTCCTCTGCGAAGGCGATTACTTTAAGCTTGAAAGCAGTGTCGTAATTTTGTTTTGTCCCACACATTGTTATCAGGTATGTGGGATTTATTAAGAAACAGACTGGCTTATATACCGCTGTGTTTTTTTATTTTGTTATGCAAACTAGGCCTACAAGCGATGATGAACATTGTACGTTTTTGACTGAAGCTGACACGATGTCAATCGTGTCATTTCATACAAGAATTCAGGTTATCAGAATGCAATTGACAACAATGTTTAAAGCTACAACGATGTTGGAATTATTGCAATTTTCAAATGCATTCTTTGCTGAGTAATTCGTTAGTTTGTTAAACAATGGTTTTAAGTGGCAGACATGGCATGTCACGACCAACAAATTATGAAATTTTGTGTTCTATTAATCGCCCCCGGGGCGTTTATTGGAATAAATACGGTACATATAATACAGTAATATGATAATGAACTGTGCATGTACATGCATTCCCGTTTACAAAAACTCTAACAAACGTTCTTCTGTTTTAAAAATCATTATTACATCTGCTTATCATAGCTCTTGGAGACAAATGTCTGTGTAACAGAGGTCATTATTTACTTCAATACCTCCACTAGGATTCGAACCAGGGACCCCTGGCTTACTAGTCTGACGCTCACCCAATCGAGCTAAAGAGAAGTTCTCCCTAGCTGAGCGGTATATTGCGGCTGGTATTTTAAAGGGTTACATACTCCCCCTCCAGGAAATAACTTGTCCTCGAGTTTCCAGGGGTTAAAATGATGCTGGTGGGGCATGGCTAAGTATTATTCCAGAGTCCCTACATGGGCGCCAATGTAACAGAGGTCATTATTTATTTCAATGCCTCCACAAGTATTTGAACCCAGGACCCCTGGCTTACTAGTCTGACACTCAACTGATCTCCCTGGCTGAGTGGTATATTGCAGCTAATATTTGCCAGGGTTACATCTGGAAAGCTGTTGTCATATCTCTGGTGTAGGCGGCAGGGGTTCTGTCTGTACGAAGGGTTTCATATGGTTTTTATCTTGTATAGTCATAGCATACAATGAGACTTTTCAGCTCACAGGGACGAATGTCTGGAGAGCTAATAATGTCACAGAACTAGGGTCAGCGTCTGTTAGCACTGGCATCTGGCATAAACAAAAACTTTAACTTTGGTCATATCTTTTGAATCACAAGAGGTAGGGCTTTGATATGTCACAGGACCTTTCTGTTGATTTCATTTTTTTTTTACTATGTGACCTTGACTGTAACCTTTAACCTATTTTTAAAAAAATTTACCTTGGTCATAACTTTTTAACCTTTTAAAGTAAGGCTTTCATATTTCACTTGTGTATTCAATGTGACAGAACCTTGCCAGTGGTGCTAAAATTGATCTAGTGACCTTGATAATGACCTTTGACCTACTTTTCAAAAAATTTAACCTCTGTCATATCTTTTAAACCCTTAGAGGTAGGACTTTGATATTTCTCACATTTACTCCTTGTGAAAAGATCTTTCTGTTGGATTCATAATAATTCGACCTTTTGACCTTGAAGTTTGACCTACCTTCAAAAGCAACCCCCTGCTAGGCAAAAGCACCCACCAGCTGTTGAGTCTTATTTGACTCAACAAGCTCTGTTGTCTTCTGGTAACCATGTTATGGACCTTTTTTTACTATGACCTGGAAACAAAGTCAGGGGGCATCTAGTTTTTGGTCAGTTCTTCTGTCAATTTGTTTGTCTATAAAACTTTTAAACCTTGGTCATAACTTTATATCCATAAGTGGTTGTTTTTTTTTAATTTTACGTGTGTATTCCTTGTAATAAAACTCTTTTGGTTGATATCAAAATCTTTGTACTACTGATCTTGACCTTAATCTTTGACTTAAACTTTAATATTGGTTGTATCTTTTTGAGAGTTTTCATGTGTATTCCTTGAGACAACACCTTCCCATTGGTACCAATTATCTGACCTTTTAACCATGACTTTTGACCTACTTATTCATTTTCTGTGAAACTTGTTGCCATACAGGGGCATCAGTAGTTCACAAACACATGTTATTGAAGTAGAAAGATGTTGATTTTACCTTTGCTGTGTATTCAAGTAGACTGTGTCTTTGCATTTTAGAAACTTTGTTAATACTTCACTGATCACTGTAATGTTATTGAGAAAATAATTGAAATTTTTCCTTCAGTCTTGCAACTGCGTTAGAAACATGAATTAACTTCTGTGATATCCTGTTGGACAATTTACCTCTTCCTCTAATCTTAAGTCTCCTAATAGTTCTCTTATTCTTTCTTAAAAAGGGAAACAGACAGTATGGAAGATGATACATACTTGGAAGATGATGAATTTCATGAAAGGTCCAAGAAAATCTCAAAAGATCTCAATGTTTCCAAGAGGACAGGATCATCCAAGAAATTCTCAGATCTCCATGTTTCAAAATGGCCAGTTGAGGATGACAATGAAAGTACAACAATACCTGTGCCCCCCACATCAGATACTGTTTGTGTTCAATCCACTTACTCTTTGGAAGGAAAACAGAAATGGGATAAAAGACATGCATGTAATTTGCCTGCTGAGAGTGATGATGAAAGTGTTGTGATACCTATGTCCTCCACATCAGATGCTCTACATGTTCAATCCACTTACTCTTTGGAAGGAAAACAGAAATGGGATAAAAGACATGCATGTAATTTGCCTGCTGAGAGTGATGATGAAAGTGTTGTGATACCTATGTCCTCCACATCAGATGCTCTACATGTTCAAGCCACTCATTCTTTTGAAGGAAAACAGAAATGGGATAAAAGACATGCATGCAAATACTGCGAAAATCTCTTTCCAAAGATAGCAAGGCACCTTGAAACAGTGCATAGTGATGGAGAATATGTTGCAAGAGCTCTTGCCTTACCAAAACATTCAGGAGAAAGGAAAGATGCATGGGCACAGATTTGAAATGAAGGAAACTGGGAGCTCAATTTTGAAGTTCTCAGATCAGGGAAAGGAACTCTTATTCCTAAATACAGAGAAAAAGAAGATGGTAAGCCTATCTCTAACTATATCCCATGCACAGGGTGTAAAGCATTATTTTCTAAGAAATCTTTGCATGAACATAGGAAATTATGCAAAGCAAATTCCTCCAAGAAACGAGGCCAAGGAGTAAAAGAGGGAAAGATGCTGTTGCCTCTGCCAAAGAATGTTTTTATGAAAGTTTTTACAAGTGGGTCATACTGTCCATGGTTAATGACGTGTTCTCTGTTGTTACCAGTGACTCATTGATAATGAATTTTGGAAAGAGGCTATTTGACAACAAAGACATTCAAGAGCACACGCCTAATCATATAAATGGCAGAATGAGGGAGTTAGGCAGACTTATGTTGGAAACCAGAAAACTTCCTTCACCCATTTTCAGTTTGGAAGATTGTCTGAATCCTCTCAATTTTTATACCATTGTTTCTTGTGTGAAATCTCTAGCAGGATTTAATGAAGATACCTATTTCTACACCACACCCTCATTAGCTTTAAAGGTAGGATACAGCCTTCAACGGTGTGCTAAGATTCTGGAGTCTAATGATATTACAGAAAAAAATCAGAGTAAGAAAGAAAATGGTGAAAATTTTCTTAAGCTGTACTCCTCCAATTGGAATTATTTGATTTCTTCGCGTGCCAGGCAGACACAAGAAGAAAAGAAGTGCAATGCACCGAAAATGCTGCCTCTGAGTCAAGATGTTTACATGTTGACTAGATTATTGAAATCAAAGATGAGGACCATGATGCAGCACCTGGTAGATGATATTTCAATCTATTTTGAGCTGTTAAAAGTAACTCTTTGCCTGGTTACACTATTTAATAGGAAACGTGGTGGAGATGTCCAAAGAATTACCGCAGCAACCTATAAACATGCGCTGAAGATGCAGAACAGCTTCCTATTTGACAATGAGGTCAGGTCAAGTCTTTCTACACTTGAAAGAGCACTTAGTCCATCAATGACTCGCATTGAAATAAAAGGAAAGCAAGAGAGAAAGGTTTCAATCATTTTAACAAAGGATATGCTTTCAAGTATCAACCTTCTGTTAGAGAAGAAGGAGGAGGCAAGTGTTGTTGGAAAATATGTATTTTCCAGGAAATCACCTTCCACAAGGACATACAGAGCAAGAGATGTATTGCGGGAAATGTGTTTGAAGGTCAATCTCAAGTATGCAGACCTGATCACGTATACAAATTTGCGAAAACACATTGCCACTATGGCCCAGGTACATGAACTGAGCGAAAATGAAAAGGACCAGCTAGCCAAGTTTTTGGGTCATGATATACGCATACACAGAGAAGTATACAGACAGCCTCTGGACTTGGTCCAAAAAACAAAAATTACCAAGATGTTACTTAGAGTAAATGAAGGGCTAGATATAGAGAAAATGACTTTCAATGAGGAAGTAAGTCACCGATATATTACTTTACATCTAATAAATTGTCTAAATCTTTCCATTTGTAACTTATTACTGGTATACCCTTACAAAGTTTGGGGGGGGGTAGGGTTATATAGTAATCATTCTGTCTGTCTTTCCCTCTGTCCGTGTTCAGTTAATTTCTCTTAAAGTATAAGAGGCAGGGCTTTCATTTTACATACACTTATCCATCTTGACTCAAGCTACAGATTAAGATAGTGACTGTTCACCAAATGATCTTAACCCTAACCCTAACCCTAAGTAGCAGTCAACATACCTGACTAATAATGAGAAACGATAAGTATTCCGTCAGCACGCCATCAATCAATATTCCCATTGTTGTATGCCGACTAGTTCCTTCACTCTAAGCCGGAGAACATGTTAGACCAAAGATTAAAAAGTGAGTTGGAAGGTGTACATTTTTTACAAATAATTTTTTACAAAATAACCCTAATCCTAACCCTAACCCTAACCACTAACCCTAACCCTAACGCTTAAGGTTTGAGGTTAAGGTTAAAGGTTAAGTTTAAGGTTAAAGGTTAAGGTTAAGGTTTGAGGTTAAGGTTAAATGTTTAGTTTAAGGTTAAGGTTAAAAGTTAAGGTTAAGGTTTAAGGTTAAGGTTAAAGGCTAAGGTTAAGGTTTGAAGATAAGGTTAAAGGTTAAGGTTCAGGTATGAGGTTAAGGTTAAAGGTTCAGTTTAAGGTTAAGTTTCTGAGGTTGAGGTTAAATGTTAAGTTTAAGGTTTGAGGTGAAGGTTAAATGTTTAGGTTAAGGTTAAAGGTTAAGTTTAATGTTAAGTTTAAAGTTAAGGTTTGATGTTAAGGTTTGAGGTTAAGGTTTGAGGTTAAAGGTTTGAGGTTAAAGGTTATGGTTTAGTTTAAGGTTCAGGTTTTCGGTTGAGGTTAAGATTGATCAAAGAATGCATGGATTGGATTTAAGTAATATTTTTGGGTTTAATATCAAGGTTTATTGATAAATTGCTTATAAGCTATATCAAAATTATGATTGAGATTTCAATTGGTCTGTACAGTTTTTTCTTAGGGTTAATGATTTAATCTTCTATTGTAATTTACGGTAACGTTGAGAATTCTATCAAATTTATTAGCATATTAAGAATATCACAAGGCTATGTTAAATCTATTAATTACATATCGATATCATCTTAAAACACAAAAGGAATATAAACATCACAGATGTTCCTAATTATAATAGCAGTTCCTCATTGACGGGTTTTATCATAAAGCAATAGTAGAATTAGGAAGCAAAAATAGAATTATTATGCTCACCGGCAAAGTCCATTGGTTAGAATGTCCAGATATCCATAGCGAATAAAAGCCATTTCAAAACCAATCTATCAGAACACTTTACACTGACATTCAAAAAATGACTACAAAATGGATGCTTAACAACAATCCTAGTCATTCTAAATGTAAACACTGACCTTGTCTCATCAGATCAATGTTATCACGAACTACCAATGAAATTCCTAAATCAACGATTGGTCGAAAGATATGATGTCACCATCAAAGACGAGATGACGTTGATCAACCTTGATCACTTCGTACTTATCCCCTAACCTTAACCCTAACCCTAGCACTAACCCTAACCCTAACACACACACACATATCTACAATTTTAATCAACATGCAGTGGAGTAACATACAAAATATAATATGGTAAGTTTATATCAAGTAAAGTACACAGGAACACAGTTATAGGACTGTCACGTATATATTAGTGGCACGATCTACAGTATATACTGATCATGATGCACGTCTACCTCCCATCACTAGCATGTTTATCAGCTAATGTCCGAACACCTCTACGTGGAGGGGGGTCGGGATAGTCAGAGAGTTCATCAAGTCTAGTCACTTGTTTCTTTTCACCGTCGTTATTACGGACAACTATTCGACCGTCCGTGGTCCAGGTACCGGAAATAAGTTTTTGTGAACACTGCACTCCTGGTTTTCGTCAAAGATTCGTTGATGTATAGTTTGGGTGAAGGAGTGAGTTTCGGTCTGGTCTCGTCAGCACTGTCGTCTGTCGTTCCTTGTTTGTTTAGAAGAGTAAATCTAGCGTCATAAATCTGCGCTCTAGTTCTATATGACAGGAACCGCACAATGATATCTCTGGGGTAGCGTGTGGATTTTGGTCCAACACGATGCGACCGGCTAATATCGGCACTGGTGACCATTACGCCTAATCTTTTGTTACACATATCTATGATGATTTGGTCCGTATCTTCATCTTGATCTTCAGCTATACCCCTAAATTTAAGACAGTTACGTCTTGAATATTGCTCCATATTGTCTAAGCGTGTCTCTAGTATATTAATCTGCTGATGCAGTGCGTCCTTGAACAGGGCATTGTCAATCATCTGGGACACTACTTGCTTAATAACAACAGGGTCTCTCAGTTCACTTATAGCTTGAACACTTTTCTTAATTTTGCCAGATAGTTCAACAGACATCGTGAGTAGTAGTATAAGTAAACTTACAGTATAGTATAGCAATAGGTAAGTTCATAAAAAACACTGACGATGCAGACAAAGGAAAATATGGCGGGAGAGTGACCGCTGTCCGCTTCAATATTTCAAAGTCTTCAAATACTTCAAACAGTGAAGAATCCTGCCGCAATCATAGATATTTATGCAATACATTTACTTATCTGCATGCTGTGTAAAGAATGGTCGTAAAATCCCACAAGAAATCACACTATGACTGCTTTTTCTTACCCTCAGTTACATGTCGGTCATAGTTTGACCACCGGATGTGGTGACAAGTGAGTGATAGATGATGTTATGACAAGGAATATGTGATATGGTTACTAGTGAGTGATAGGTGATCTGATGGCAACGGAATGGTTACGTGTTGACAAGTGAGTGATAGGTGATGTGTTGACAAGTGAGTGATAGGTGATGTGGAGGCGTTGGATAGGTGATGTGGTAACTAGTGAGTGATATGCTATGTTATGACTAGGGATAGATAATGTGATTACAAGTGAGTGATGGGTGAACTGATGGCAAGGTTAAGGTGATGTGTTGGCAATGGATTGTTGATGTGATGGCAAAGGACACGTGATTTGATGACAAGTGAGTGATAGGTGTTGTGGTGACTAGTGAGTGATAGGTGATGTGATGACAACGGAATGGTGATATGGTGACAAGTAAGAGATAGGTGATGTGATGGCGACAAAAAGATGATGTGATGACAAGTGAGTGATATATGATGTAATGACAAGTGAGTGATCGGTGATGTTATGGCAAAGGATAGGTGAATTGATGGCAACGGAATGGTGATGTGGTGACAAGTAAGAGATAGGTGATGTGATGGCAAAAGAAAATGACGTGATGACAAGTGAGTGGTAGGTGATGTGGACCCGAGGGATAGGTGATTTAGTGAAAAATGGCGAGAAGTGAGTGCTATGTTATGTGATGAAAAGGGATAGGTGATGTGATGACAAGTGAGAGATAGGTCATGTGATGGCAACGGATAGGTGATATGGTGACGAGGGAAAAGTGATGTGATGGCAGGGGAAAGGTGATGTAGTGACAAGTGCGTGATAGGCGATTTGAAGACGATGGATAGGTGATGTGGTGACAAGTGAGTGATAGGTGATGCCATGACAAATGAGTGATAGGTGATGTCATGACAAATGAGTGAGAGGTGATGAGATGACGAGGGAAAGTGATGTGGTGACATACGGGTGATAGATGGTGTGATGACAAGTGAGTTATAGGTGATGTGATGGCGAGGGATAGATGATGTGATGGCAAATGAGTGAGAGATGATGAGATGATGAGGGAAAGTGATGTGGTGACAGACGGGTGATAGATGGTGTGGTGACAAGCGAGTGATACGTGATGTTATGGCGAGGGAAAGGTGATGGGGTGAAAAAAGAGTGGCAGGTGATGTCATGACAAATGAGTGAGAGGTGATGTGATGACAAGTGAGTGATTGGTGATGTCATAACAAAAGAGTGAGAGGTGATGTCATGGCATGGGATAGGTGATGTGGTGACAAAAGAGTGATAGGTGATGTGATGACGAGGGAAAGGTGATGTGGTAACAGACGGGCGATAGATAGGTGTAATTACAAGTGAGTTATAGGTGATGTGATGGCGAGAGATTGATGATGTGATGGCTAATGATAGGTGATGTGGTGACTAGTTAGTGATAGATGATGTGATCGCGAGCGATAGGTTTTGTGATGGGAAGGGATAGTACATGTGGTTACAAGTGTGTTACATGTGATATGATTTCAAGGGATAGGAGATGTGATGACAAGTAAGTGATAGGTGATGTGATGACAACGGAATGGTGATATGGTGACAAGTAAGAGATAGGTGATGTGATGGCGACAAAAAGATGATGTGATGACAAGTGAGTGATATATGATGTAATGACAAGTGAGTGATCGGTGATGTGATGGCGAGGGATCGGTAATGTGATGACAGGAAAGAGATATGAGATGTGGTGACAAGTGAGTGATAGTTGATGTGATGGCGAGGATTTGGTGATGTGATGACAAGTGAGTGATAGGTGATGTGTTGAGAACGCATAGATGATGTGTGAGAAATGATTGATTGATAATCTGATAGTAAGGGATAGGTAATGTGATGGGAAGGGATAGTTGATGTGGTGACAGGTGAGTGATAGGTGATGCCATGCCAAATGAGTGATAGGTGATGTGATGACGAGAAATAGATTATGTGATGGCAAATGATAGGTGATATGGTGACTAGTGAGATATAGGTGATGTGATGGGAAAGGATAGGTGATGACAAAAGAGTGATAGGTGATTTAATGACAAATAATGATAGATGATGTGATGACAAGTGATAGGTGATGTCATAACTAATGAGTGAGAGTTAATGTGATGACGACGGAAAGGTGATGTGGTGACAGACGGGTGATGGATGGTGTAATGACAAGTGAGTTATAGTTGATGTGATGGCGAGGGATAGATGATGTGAAGGCAAATTATAGGTGATGTGGTGACTAGTTAGTGATAAGTGATGGTATGGCGAGAGATAGGTTTTTATGATGGGAAGGGATAGGTGATGTGGTGACAAGTGAGTGATTGGTGATGTCGTAACAAGTGAATGATAGGTGATGTCATGACAAGTAAGAGATATGTGATGTGATGAAATGTGAGTGTTAGGAGATGTGGTGACAAGTGCGTGATAGGTTTTGTGGAGGTAAAGTGACAGTTGAGGACAACTAAATTGATATCTCTATCTGTTCGTTAACATTTGATATGATCTGTAGTCAGTATACATGTATTACAACATTCATTACAATTATTATAGGTCTACTTCCTCGTTCTAGTTCGTTAGCTACCTACAGATGATACTCTAGATGTTACTATTATTATTTCGTTTAATCATTCTGCCATTAACACATGTTTTATTAAATTGGCATTTCAAAAGTAAGAGTTGTTGGCGGTGAGATGTTAAAGGGTAACAAAAACTTAGTGTTGCATGAACTATAGTATGATTACCACATTTTTACTAGTCGAGGAGTTTATTGCTTTTGAAATATGTTTACTTCATTTATCTGATCTTATCTTTCCATATTGATTTGAAAGCAAACTTCTGAATGAATCTTGACGCAATTGTGTCGTCTGCTAAAACTACTTCCTTGTCTTATACACATGCTGTGACATAAACGTTTGTGTTATGTATAGATTATCATTGGATTGAAATAGCGACATATAACAGTTCTTGGAAGTCACTTATAGACTCGGCCTACTCAGAACGATTTTCTATCGAATTGTGTTATGGGAGGGTCCATTTACTGGTACAGTGGCGTGTGGTATGGTAAGTGTTCCTGTTGTTTGATTTCTTCCTCGTCCGTTTTACTGTAAAGGGGATGTATAGTATATGACTCTTTCATCTACCATGTACATGATTAATATCAACATGAAGACAATGGCCCTGTAGGGCTCTTGCGTAGCGGTGCTGTAGTCTCAATCCTAAGAAAAAGTTCGTTTTATAATGTACAAAGGTTTGGGCAAATCGCAACCTTTTGAACCGTGTAAAAACCT